CCCCCCCTCCCCTAGGCCCTCCCCCTAGCCCCGGCGGGAGTGCGCAGACTCGAAGCCGGCAGAGACGTGCGACGAGAGCGAGGCGGCATCGGCCTGGTCCGCCTCGACCACCTCGGCGCCCATGAGCGAGAGCAGCGACACCGTGTGCCCTCGGCTCGACGCCTCCCCGCCAGGCAGCACCGCCAGCTTCCTGCCTCGGAAGAGGCTCCTCCTCTCGGGACGGACGGCGTGGCAGCCGGCCGGGATGTCCGGCTGGGTCGCGTCGGTGGGGGAGCAGCCCACGGCGCTCGGGTCAGGCAGCGGCTCGGCGGCGGCCTTGCGCGCGGCCACCCGCTCCACCCAGGCAGGCGCGACCACCGGGCAGCCGTGCGCGAGCGCCAGCATCAGCTTTGGCGTCAGCTTGATCTTGGACATGACGAGGTGGGAGGTGTGGCCGTCGGCCCACTCCTTGCTCGCGCTCACGCCGACGAGCCGCGCGGCTGCGGCCTGCACCACCTCGGTGTCCGCCTTGGACAGCCCCGAGTAGCAGAGCACGAGCGGCTCGTGCCGCACCGTCAGCACCTTTGCGCCGAGCGAGAGCGAGGCCCCGTCGACGAGGCTGGCCGTCCCGCCTGGGTCAACCTTGGAGTTGTCCACGGAGGTGCCAAACTTGGAGCCGAGGTCGGTCAGCCTGAGGGTGCGGCCGTCCTCGCCCACACGCAGCTCCAGGTGCTTGCGCGATATGGACTTGTCGCCGGTGACGGTGACGTCGGCCGACTCGTGCCGCCCGACGGTGTACGGGCCCTCGCTGCCCGGCACGGGAAGGCGGCCCAAGGTCTGCGACCCGTCCGCGATGAGCCACATGGATTGCGCCTCCTGGCGCGAAGCGGCCCAAGCCGAAAAAGAATTTGCCGGCGAAAAAAATTGGGCTTAAGTTTTTCGCATCACAGTTTTTCGCATCACTTCATAGGGGAAGCAAAAAAATCGAAAGGCTCTGTACGTTGGTACATGCTACACACATGCACGTAGTGTATGCCATGGAGTACATGTCGATGTAGACTTGTTCAATCCTCTCGGTGGAGCTCTCTCTCACCTCAGTCGAGCTGCAGCCCCGCTGGAACGCGATCGCCCCACGCGGAGGTGAGCACGGCTTTTGAGGCGTCGTCGAGCCCGTTGCCCGACAAGACGACCTCGGTCAGCAACAAGTTGGTGGTGAGCGCCCTTGCGAGGTGGTGAGCACCCTCCGCTCCCAGCGCGTTGTCGCCGAGGTTGAGGCTGGTGAGGACGCGGTTGTCGGCGAGGGCGCGCGCCACGTGCATCGCGGCCTCTGGCCCGATCTTTCCGCCGGCGACCTTGCCGCCGCCGCTCGTGTCGCTCAAGTCCAGGTCGAGAAGAAAGTCGTTGTCCGGCCCGAGCCGCTCGGCGGCGCGCGCTCCCCACCCGCCTTGCGCGCGCAGCCATGCGAGCGACGCCTCCACAGAACCCTCCGCCGGAGGGGCGTCGCCAGCCGCGCTCACGACCGGCAAATAGATCCCGTCCACGACGTGGACAGGCCCTCCGTGCGTGCGCCCGAAGTAGGTGCCCGCAGGGATCGTCTCGGCCGACGCCTCCGCAGGGCCCGCAGCCTCTGCTTGCGTCGCGGTGGGCTTCGCCGAGGCTGCGTGCTCCTTGAGCACGGCGGCGACGGCGCCGATGGTCTCGCCTGCCGCGCGTGCCTGACGCGCGTATTCGGACATCGACATGCGACCTGCCGCCAGGTCGGCCCGCATCTGGAGCGCCGCCGCGCTTGCCTCGCTCGCCATATCACACGAATCGCACGTCCTCGAAAAACGCAAAGGCGAACAGCGTGAATTCAAGAATTCAATCGCGGTAACGGAGGGGCACAGCTCGTTTATCACCTTTCTTCGTGGGACCCACGGGGGCTTGCAATTTTACTCGACTGTCGTGTGCGCGCTTTGGGGCGTGGGGCGTGGGGCTGGGTGGGGTAGGCGTAGGGCGTGGGGCGTAGGGCGTGGGGCGTGGGGCGTGGGGCGTGCGGCGGGGCCTGGGGCGGTTGCCTGATGGCGTGGTGATGTTTGTATGAGTTTGCGATGAGTTTGCGAAACGGCCGACACCGCGATCCGTGGGCCTCGAGCCCGCCAGCGCCTATGGATGAGGCCCGCAATGCGGCCAGTATATCCGACTTCTGCACAACGCTGCCCGAGCTTGACATCAACGCGGACTCGGTGGACATGGTTGTGACTTCTCTCTGTCAAACTTTGGTGTCTTTCGACCTGGAACTGCTTGAGCGGTCAGGGGGCCGGGCGTGCCTCCCTTGGGACACGTGGAGTTCGGCATTGGACGTCTTGATTGCAGCGGCGGCGCCTCAAATGCAGTGGCTGGCGGACTCGCTCAGTGGATCTGAGCTGTGCCTCGAGATTGATAAGGGCCTTCAATCTGCGTTTGTACAGGTGACGCCTGGCGATTGGGTCCTCACCCTCCTATGGACTCACGGCGAGGACAAGATGGCAGTCGCGCTGCAGATGCTGTACGCCATGCTCCTCGCGCTCTCCTGCCTCGCTGCCTCGAAGCTGATCCCGCCGCAGCGACGCGCCATCCAGCAGCAGCAATCGGTGCTGCTCGATCAGCTTTCCAAGTGCCGAGCGAGCTTGTCGACAGGCACGCCCTGCGATCCACGTGCAACGGTCGGGGAATTCAAGGCCGCGTCGATGCTCGGAGCGCTCTCTGTTTTCGAGTTTGAGTTTGCGTGGCGGCAAAGAATGAAGCTGCTACACAAAGTCAAGGCGGTGCACGAGGCGATCACTCTCGCGCACTCCATGGCCAGGGCCTATCGTCTTCAAGAGGAGAAGCCTACCGCCGAGGAGGACGCTCAGCTACGAGAGATGAGCATCGCGCTCGTACGTCTGCTCGATGCGATTTCCGCCGCGCTGTCGGTCGATCCGCACAACGAGTACACGGCCGGGTCCGACGGGCGGTACCAGGACCGAGCGGCAGCGTGCGCGGAGGTAGCTCAACTCGCACGCGATGCCGCCCAACCACGCAAGTCCACGGCCGCCGACCCAAAGGCGGGGACACTGGCCGAGACCCTCAAAGCAGGACACCTTGCAGCTGTGAGGAGTGCCGTCGACGCCTCTTGCTCTCTTGGCGAGCAGGCAGCGGCTGATCTGCTAGCCGGCCGCGACGTCAAGGTCGTTGCTATCTCGCTCGTCGCGCTGCCCTTGCTCACGCTGGCTGGGCCACTCGTGGTTCTTCGGTTTTGGCTAGCCCAGCTGCCGATGGCGCTCACGCGATGCTGTGGCAGGACCGCATGGTGGCGTGACTACCATCTCTACGCCACTGCGCAGTACCTAGCAACAACTGCTGGCGTCTTTGCCGTCCCTGTCTTCTGCAAGTCGGTGCGCCTGTGGCTTATGACGCCTGTGGGGCCGTTGCCCACAGATGGGAATGCCGCGTGGGCGCTGTTGCCAGTGTCGCTTGTGCTAATGACGACTGTCAACGGGGCGCTCGGCAAGGGCGGGCTGCGTATCCTCGGGACCCTGCTGGGCGCCGCGTTTGGCATATTGGCGGGCATTGCGGCACAGCTACGCGGTCCTCGACTACAAGCAGCCGTCCTTTGCACCGTCACGGCGGTCGCCACCTTCATCGGTGCCAACCCGCGGGTGGCGATGGCCTCGGGCTGCACCGCCATCTTCGACCCTCGCTACGGGTACGCGCTTCAGCTCTCGACTTACACAGCGATGATCCTCTCGCTCGGGGGAGCCGATTCGGAGAGGTACACGCTTCGGCACTTCATCACCTTTCGCCTGACCACGCAGCTTGCCGGCGCTCTCGCGGCAATGCTGGTCTCGCTACTCATCTTGCCGCGCTTTGCAATTGTGACCGCTCGCGAGCAGAGTGGCGTGGCCATGATCAAGATGGCGGACGCGCTTCGTGCGGCTGCGGGGTTGGACAAAGCCAGGGCTGGCAAGGACCCCGTCAGCGCGTTGCTCCGCGAAGCTGACGCAAGCGCTAATCGAGCAGAGGTGCTGGTTGGAGAGACGGAGCAGCTTCTTCCGCACGGGCTACCCTCGCGCCACATGGCTTCCATTTTTGAGCTGCAGCTCGAGCTCGCCATGTGCGCGCGCGCCCTCGTCGAAGCCCTGCGCTCATCGCCCGTGCCCACCCCTCCTGAGGGCCCCCAGCGTGAGCTCCTCGTTGCGCTCGCTGAGTTGCTCGAGGTGGCGGGGCGTTGTTGCAAGGTGTGCGCGTGGCGGCCCGATGGCGCTGCGTTGCAATCCCTGGGTGCGATTTCTGCAGACGGCACCGTGCCGCGGTGGTACTACCCACCTTGGGACGAAGGGCAGCGGGAGGCGCTGCAGGCCTCGCTAGGGAGGGTGATTGGCCTCGTGCAGGAGAAGGCTACCGCCGCCGCGCGGGCCTCACCCCCTCCGCCGTGGCTGGCGGCGGCGGCGCTCATGCACAGTGCAGTCGTGCGAACAGAGGGGGCAATCCTAGGGGCAGAGGAGAGGTAAGAGCTCCGTGAGAGAGGGAGAAAGCGCGAAAGTCCGACCCAATGTCTCTCTGCTTGTGAGCGTGGTCGTCGTTTTAGTTCTTTCACCCGCGGCGACTGGGGTCTACTGTTTGCGTCCATGTGCCAAAACAGAGGCACCTACGGCAGCAGTGCAAATCGCACTGAGCCCTGGTCTGGCAGCCTGACAGCAAACCCCGGACAGCGCCTGACAGTGCCCGACAGCCTGACAGCGTTGACACTGCAGCGCACTTTCTACTGACAGAGGCTGACAGCACGTATCTGGGACAGCCTGACAGCAGAGCCTGACATCAGAGGCGACCCGTCGCTGTCAGGCCCTAACGTGACTGCCTTACAGCTGCCTGACAGCCCGACAGCTCACAGTGGCCTGACAGCAGCGCTGACAGCCCGACAGCCCGACCAGCCCGACAGCAGCACCTGAGCAGCACAGACCGTACACAGGCCGTGCAGCCTCTTTCTTGTGCCCCATGAGGGTATAACAAAACTATATTCATGCAAAGACATGTTGGAAAACGGGTTTTCCGGGTTTGGGTCCCATGTCCAGTAGTAGGGTCATGGGTCTTTTGACTCTCACCCTCCGCCCCACCTTCGACGCGTGCTAACAGAGCTCATAGCTGGGCCACAGTCATATATGCCTACGGCTTGTGGGTGCCCCCTTCCCCGCCTGCGCTGC